TAGGGTGTGACCTCCACTGTGTAAACTGATGTCTCCCCTGATACATGGTGGTGGTTCTGTGTATGTGTGTGTATGTGGGAGAGAGAAAGGAGATGTGTCCATGTTTCTTTGTTTCTTCCTGGCCGGCCCCACCGGTACCTGGATGATTGAGGGCCTGGAGCACGTATACCTCCTCACCCATGCTGAAGGCATCTCTGGTAATGGCATCTGGCCCATATGCAGATCTAGCTCAACTTGGTGCTGACATCAGCCAGTTTGTGGTACCTCAGCGTATTTCTGGGTTGCAAATGAGAGTTTCTTAGTGCCAGGCTCGCTTGGGCTGTCACATCAGGTGATGAATTCTCTGCATCAGTGGTGTGCTGCTAAGGTAAGCGCAGAGGAAGAGCGGGAAGGAGAGGAGGATGGGACAGGCAGATAGCAGTCCAGCAGCCGCTGCTCTAGGCTCCAGCAGCCACTGCTCTGGGCTCCAGTGGCACTGGATCTGCAACAGCGAGGGACAGGCTACTGCAGGTGGCACCTGTGCCTTTTAAAGAGGGTGGCAGAGAAGGGAGAAGTCAGAGCTTCAGTTGCAGTTCTGTGCTGTTGTGTTTTGTCCGGAGAAACCACGTGGCTTTCCCCCTCCACCACTGCCCCGTTGTTACCTCAGTAGCCCGCTGCCCCTGCCTCCTCAGACGGGCGTGCTTTGCCTTGTCTATTTGATGACATTCTGGCAAAATCTGGTCTACATCAAATTATGCGCCAGATTCATTAGAGTAGGGTATAGAGTAGATAGTCCATCGTTTTTATTCCTGAATCACTTTGTGCCTGAATAGCGTTAATTTATGTTTTGAAAACCCAGATTTTCTCATATAGCAAACCTGCCGTATTTTGTCCTAATTTTATATTCTGTTAGCTTCCCCCTCTGTTTCAGGTTGTACCTGCTGCTAGCTTAGGCTTCACCTAGTGGAATTAAGCATTAGATTTGGTCTTGCTGCACCAGCCTTGCCTTGCAGAATTACATATAGAATTGGGTGCTAATATAGAGTCTCTTCCACTAGGGATGTTTTCAGAGATCAAAGGGGCCCATTTGGTTTTGCAGTTTTCACCGCCCCCACCCCTGTGACCTGTCACTAAGGTTTCTGACATCAGCATTTTGAGACCCGCACCTGTCTATGATAAAGGATATAGTTTGCATCTGAGAGTGAAGCGGGATGTTGGAGTGCAGAAGGAAAACAAAAACAAAAGTCGCATTTCTCATCCCCCACTCACGGCTGTTAATGAGAGCATCTTCGACGCTCAGTGCGCCCAGAGATAAATAAACACAAAGGTGGCATTTCCTACTTGATATTCACCCGCAGTTGAGGACGACAGAAGGAATTGCTCCCCAGGGTTAACGTGGCAGTAAGCGAGGTCAGCTGTTTCCCAAGACAGAGCAGCCTCTGAACGCCTTACATTAAAGCTGGAATGATACAGCTGAAGCAGCCAGAGTGATTTACGGGAAACCCGGTTAAGTTGGCTTTGCTCACAGTTTCTGATCTTGTGAACGTTTTAGCAGCAAGGGTAGCAGAGAACATACCATTGTATAAAGCGCCTCCAGAGGAAAGGATTCCTCACCTTTTCCGGTTAGACATGCTTCATCTTAAAAGTGCTTGTGTTTATCTTACTTGAATAGCGGAGGCTAGAGTGTCCTAAATTCAGCAGGAAGTTGGTGGTTCTGTGGTAGAATTCTCACCTTCCATGTGGGAAAGCTGGGCTTGATTCCTGGCCAGTGCACCTCATGCACGGCTACCACCATTCTGCCCTTGGAGGCCTGTGTGTTGCTGTGATGCTGAACAGGTTTCAGCAGAGCTTCCCAACTAAGATGGACTAGGAAGAAAGGCCTGGCAATTTACTTCTGAAAATCGGAGAGTGAAAACCCTATGGATTACAGCAGTCTGATCTGCAACCAATCATGGGGATGGCGAAGGACCTGGTGGCGTTTTGTTCTTCTGTGCATGGGGTTGTCATGAGTCAGGGGCCAATCGACGGCAGGTAACAACTAGACGGCCATAGCTGGGGTGTCCAGGGGTAAGATGCCGGCCCTCCTGGTTTGCCCTGGCCTGAGGGGTTTACCAGGACATAGTGCTAACACAGGAAGAGTCCTGGGCTCACTGGGGGGATTGATTACTCTGAGGTGTGTGTGGGTGGGGGACAGGGTCTGTGGAGGGAGAGTGAAAAAAGGGAGCTAATGAGATTTTTTTTTAACAGAAGATTTTATTTCTTCTTCATCAGGCCAACTGGCATAATTAAAATGCCGGTTTTGATATCAGCTTGAACTAATTCCTGTCTCTGCCGTCTGTGTGTTCTCTGTTCCCTCTGTCAGCTTGGTCTGAGAAAGAAGCCTTTTTAGGGAAGGAGATGAAATGTCTCCCGTTTGAGTTGTTTCTGCTCAGAGATGGCTCAAAAAGAAGTCTCCGAGAACCGTCTGGGCCGTAGAATGCCTTGCCCATTCCTTCCTAATGAAACAGCACAGAGCTAATTTTCTTTACTAACAGCTTCATTTGGGGACCACTTATTGTTGTTTTAATGGAATTAAGCCTGACTGTATAATGATAAAAGTGGTGATTTGTGAGCAATGTCATAAAACTTCTTCATGTGCCATGATGACATGGGTACTGGCTATTTTCAGAAAGCTCCCTCCTCTGCTTGCCTCTTACCTTTCCGACACCAGGTCGATTCTAAGATAAATGGCTTTTTTTTTTTCAACCTGTACTTTACTTTCTGCTTCATGACATGTTTCCTTAAAATCCCATACTGCTCTGTTATGCAAATACACACACACACACACTCACACACACACATACACACATACACCCCTAACTATCTATCATCTGTCTGGTAAACATACACATATAAAAATGGTTATTAGGACAGACAGATAGCAAAACGCTAGCAGAAATTATCTCTGAGTGGTAGGATTACAGGTGTTAAATTTTGTTTTTATGCTTTTCCTATTTTACATCTTCTATAATCAGAAAACATAAATGACATTAAAGGATTTTCTTCGGGAAAAAGTAAACAGAACTGCCTTCCTCAGTCAATCTAAAATGGTACCCAAATATATATTCTTGGTTGGGAAGTGAGGCTAAGATATCGTGACCCCCTGTGACAAACCTGCATTAAGAAACTGAATTAATTCTGTTATTGATTCCAGTGATACTACAGAGCCCTGGCCTCCAAAAGATGGAAAGGCCTTCTGTGAGAAAGGAAAAAATTCCCTTTTCTCCCTCCTTGTGATCTGTCTAATCTCCCATCACAAACCACAGGAGGAAAGGTCTTCTAAGGAGAAAAGGAGTGGGAGGAATTACCTACCTAGATTAGGAGGTGGCAGGTTTGAACCCAGAGTGGGTATTCATCCATTCAGGATTGAGGACAAGTGTTCCTTATCCGCATTTCCCAGGACCACCTCTCATCCTCTTGGTCTCCAGATCTGTGACTTTCTCCTTCTTAGTGAGGTGTAGACAAAAATCTACCTTTATGCTGAAGTAACTGGTGGGAGCTGCTTTGAATTAAAATCCAGTTTTCCTCGGCAAATTGGAACATCATTTGAGGGAGCCAGTGAAAAAATAAGCAAAATGGATGAAAATGGCAGAGAAAAAGATTCAGAAGTTAGACGCCTGCTTTTCTCTTGCACCCTCTGCTTTCTTATGAATAAATTGTGAACAGATAGTTGCTAGTGCCTGTTAAATGCCAGGCACTCTCCTATATACTGTGGATTATACAGATGTGTAGAAGCCATGGCCCTCCCCAAATGGCACCTGTCCCATCTACCCCAAAATTTTCCAAGGGATAAAAGGAGAGGAAAGTGCAATAAAAAATCATTTACGAGGAATGCCTAAGACCTAGTCTATTGACATTAACAGTATTTCCAGAGTTGAGGTGTATTAACTCCAAATGAACATAATGATGCGGGGAGGGGGCATTTTAGCACGCTTGCATTTCAATGCTTCAAAACATACAAACAATCATGAATTACATAGCATGAATTAACCGCTATAGCAAATCATTCCTCAGCTATTTTAGTGGCAGGGTCTATTTTGAAAGAGATGGTCATTAAACAAATCCATTTGAACGATTTCATTGTTTAAGTACATCTGGTATGAGAGTCTTAGAAAAATGATTTACAGATGTGAATCAAACTCTGTAGTTGCCCATCTCACCACCTCTTTAGATATATTTACTCAGCCCAGTACTTACAGTCTTGGCACCATTGTTTTGCCTGTTATATTCACCTGAATCACCCTCTGTACTTTTCAAGGCTCACCTCAAAGAGTACCTCCTCCCTGAAGCCTTTCCTGATGCTCCAACAAGATGTGATGTTTCCTTCATTTGAACCTTCATAACAACTGGGTTCTACCATTTTTTAGGTTCTGCCTTGAATTATAGTTCATTCATGTGCTTGTCTTAACCCCCTCCTTGAAGACATGAACCTTAGCCACTCATTGTATACCCAAGAGCATATAGTACAGAACCTTGCACAGTACAGGAATTTGGAATCCCATAGACATATGGACCATTCAGAGCTAGAAAGGACCTTATAAATCATTTGGGCCAACCTTCTTATTGTTCAAAAGGGGAAACCAAGGCCAAAGAGGTGAGGGCGCTTTACCAGGGTCAGCAGCTAGTTGTGGCCAAAATCTGTGCTAGAATTTGGGTCTCTTGACCTGCAGGGCAGCTATCATTCCACAATAGCACACCGAATAATCATCTGATGGCTTGAACTGAATTCAAACATCTTTGAGGAGTATAAACACACTACACAAGTGGGAGGGGTTAACATTATACACAAAGGCTCACTGGGAGGACCTGAACTCATCTGAGGGTGGTAGGAATAATATCAGCAGTTATAACATCCCATTTGACAAGTGCCCCATTTTCCTGGCACTGTACTAGGTCCTTTACACAAGCTACCTCATTGTCATTGTCTGCTCAAAGGCCACCAGATCTCAGAAGACTGACTTCTCTCCCTTTTTCCCTTCTAGGCTAATGGAGGTTGGCAGGATGCTACTACCCCTTCATCAGTGACCTCCCCTACAGAAGGCCCTGGCAGTGTTCACTCTGATACCTCCAACTGATCTCCCCGCAATCGCATCCCGGCTGACCCTGTGCCCCGGTCGGGGCAGGGGCAGGAGGGAGGGTTTCTCTCCCAACGCTGAAGCGGTCAGACTGGAGGTCGAAGCAATCAGCAAACACAATAAGAGTCTCCTTCTCTTCTCTTCTTTGGGATGCTATTTCAGCCAATCTGGACACTTCTTTATACTCTCTTCCTCCCCTTTTTTTTCTGGGTAGAAGCCACCCGTCCCCTGCCGCCAGCTCTCAGCCTGGTTTTGTCATCTTCCCTGCCCCTTTCCCTCTGTCCTAGACTTCCTGGGTCCCTGCCCTCTATTACATAACGGAAGGATATTTTCAACAATTAGTGGAATTTAAAGAGGAAAAACAATGACAAAGAAAATAATAAAAGTGTTTGTATGTTTTCATGCTGGTGGTTTGAGGAGCCAAATTTACCTCACTCATATCCCTCACTCCCAATTTTAATAGGCAATCCCTCTCTGTTTCTCTTGTTACTCTCACTACCTCTTAGCAGAAATATGCCACATTGCCCTACTTGCTCCAGGCTTCCCTTCCCCATCTTGCTCTTCCTTCCCTGGGGACAATTCTGATTCAAACACTTCCCTCTTCCTTCCCAGCCCCAGCTATTCTTTGGGGACTGCCATAGCTGGGCTTTTAAAGCCTCCACTGTTTCCAGTTACAGCTCTGCTATGTTGATTCTCAGGCAGGAAGTCAGGCAGCAGGAGAGGGCACATGAACAGGAACGGCAGAATTCCCACAGGCTTTCTCATCCTGCCAACATCCCTTGGTTTCAGAGGCACAGTCTTTGGAGATCACACAACACTTAGTAAGCAATATTCAGACCCTCCTGCAAAACCAGGTCAAACTTAGGCATGATGATGGAATGCATCATTAAGGAGCAGAAGGTTCTTACCCTGAAACTTTTCAACTATCCTGTCACACATACATACACACATACATGCAGAAGTAGGCATATGCACAATCTCACACATTCACTTAACCAAGATCATTCATAGGCCATATGCAAATACATGAATTAGCAACCATTAGTAGCCAGAGCACTATGCATTGTGAGCTCAATAGAGGGAATTACTAGGAACTCTGAATGAAGGTCACTGACACAAAGAAGGAGTATGTGTCTGAGGCTTCCAGAACCTGTAGGCCCACCAGCATGCACATAAACAGAACAATGTATACAGGACTTGATCGTGATAAAGGTCAGCTTTCTAGTGTAAACCATTCCCATTGCCACCACCTCTGGAGCGCTCAGGAAACCGCACACAGAGCTTACAATGTCTAGAATAGATTTGGTTCTGTTTTGTTTTTGTTTTAATCTTACGGACATTGCATTAATTATCTAAAGTAGTATATGACACCATGTTCTTGACTCCTGACTTCTTGTTCTAGAGGAAAGAGCTGCATAAGAACATGGCTCAAGCTTTTTCCTCACCCAATTTGAAAACCTGAGGGTCATGGGGAAAGAGGAGGTAATGTTTTCACTGAAATCATCACAGTGATTGATTTTTATTCCCTGGGATCATTTAAGAGAGAAGACTATGTACTAGAAAGTTAATCTCTAATGTCATCTTCATAGCTGATTCTACAGGAATAAAGATGGCAGCTCTGTCTCTTGATTAAGTGGGAGATGGCCAGATCTCTTGGTGGCCTCAATTTCTTTATCTATAAAATGGGAATGTTTATGCTTGGGTCACCAGGAGGCTTGTAAGAGACTGAGGAAATTTATTTCATTTATACCCAAGTAAATGTAAAGTAAAGGGAAGTAGTGTCTCAGATAAACTTAGGGCCCATGACATGTAGGAACAATAAATGGTATCCTGTTCTAACTTCTGGTTCCCGTTAGCACCCTGATATCATCATCATGATGATAGGTTATTGTTGTTGATTTTATGGTTTTGATTCATTTGGTTTCTTAGAGGAGAGAAAGGTTTCCAAAATAAAACATTAGGACCTGGTTCTCTCAGTTTGCAGTTGAATCCAAAATGTGGCCTTGTAAGTTCTTAGTTCTATGTCACATTCACTCTGCTTTAGAGGCCTCCAGGTAGAGGTACAAGACCCAGGAAGGGTGAGGCTGGCTAGCTCACAAGGTCATGGAAAAACCTCATGGCACCCCAGTAATGCATAGAAAGTGCTTCTGTGTTGTGTGTATGGAAGGAAAGGGGAAAAAGGAACTGCTCCATAAGAAAGGATATATGTATTTGAAGGAAATGCAAAAAGTAAATATTTGGCAAGATGGGATTATGTCTTGATGACTAAGAGCAATAGAAGGGCTTTGTCTGCCAACCTGTGCCATAACCAGAAGAGGGTTAGATAAAGGGCAACAGGTTTGGGTCTTTTTGGTTAGAAGTAGCATATTTGTGACAGCTCTGTAGTAATTAGAAACAGCAGAGAGCTATGTCTTATTGGCAGAAATATACTGAAACTACCCCTTGCGTTTGGGCAAAATACAAAGACAGACACAAAAGGGTTCTCTTGGAAACAGGAAGGATGATTCCAGATTTGTATTGAATGATGCATTTGAGATGAAATAATGAAAAAGATCAGAGCAATGCTCCACTTGCACAGGCAGTTTCTCTCACTGAGTAGTTTGCACCAGTTATCACCTCTCACAGCATCTTTCCCACCCAGCACATCACGCAGACCTCCTTGTATCCAATGCCTTTCCCACAACCTCCCCTCCAAGTCCACTATCACTTCCAATGTGGCAGCCACGATCTCTCAGCATTAAGCCAAGCTTGAGCACGCTGGCTGCAGAAGGATGGGAATGGAAATAGCCATGCCTCTGGAAATACAGCTCCCTGGGAATTCACATTAAGTCAATCCTACAGATTCCAAAATATGCTCCAGGATTCCTTCATTTTCTAATGCAAGTGGAGTGCTCCATTTTCCCTGACAGCAAATTTCCTCTGAGAAATGGTACTAGACTTGGGTTTGCCCCCCATGTAATTTTTCATTATATCCTCCTTTTCATCCCTGACTCCTCCCCCTGGTGTGGAATTGACTCTTGGCAGTACTTTTGCCAAGTGGCGCTTTCTTTAAATTTATTTTTTGTTTTGCTGTGGTGGTGGTCCTTTATTTGCCAGTTGCCTTTTCTCAGACATATCTTTTTCCTCTCTTTCCTTCTGCTTTTTATTTTTCTGCCCAGAAAAACCTGACTTCGATACCAAAAAAGATAAAACTACAGAAACTCAAATTTAAAAAAAAACTTAAAAAAGATACTCAACAATTCTTTCAGCTTTATTAACATTTTCCATTGTTTCTTGCGACTTGTGTCTCGTTCTTTGTAGTATTGATGATGAACATTTGATAATGAATGTTCTTGTATATTCAGATAAAGAAAAAAAAACCAAAAAAGCGGTCTGAATTTAATAGTGTTTATAATAAAAATTTTAAAAATGACCCTCATAGCACGCAAAACAGGACGGGGGGTTTCCCCTCTTCTTTCTGTGACAATGCGCATCATTCCTGCATTAGTTTTTAACACCAAACTACCTACATTCATCATTTCCCTCATTTTTCTTTTATTTTCTCGCATTTGTGAATTAGTTCAAGAATGCTAGAAAAGTGTCGAGTTGTGCACATCCATTTCCTGTTTCACAATGTTTAAAAGTGACAGTAATTCATTTTGTAAACTTAAAAAAAAAGAAAGGTTGGAATAGTGAGCATAATAGGTACAACCTAACACGTTATTATGTTTATTAACTTTGAGACCCAGAAATAAATTCTTTTCTTTTCTTTATTCCTGCTCTTAAAAATACAAAAAAAAAAAAAAAAAAAATCATTATGTTTTGTGTTATTTTTTGGTTTGTTTATTTGGGGGGGAGCTATTTTTTGTCAGGATTATGATCTTGCCGTTTTTATTCCTTAAATATGTATTCGAGGTGATGTGAAAAGATGACATTGGTAGACTAGGCTGTTACTTTGTGTTCTTCTTTGCTTCAGAATTCAGTTGACTTCAAAAACAAAGATGAAGCCTTTTTTGAGGCTGCATTATGCACACCTGTATTTCTACAGGGTGAGACACTCCTGATATAAATAGTCCGGGACTTGGGTTCTCCTTTTGACCATTTAAAAATCAATGAATCCATTCAAGGGATTTTCCATGCTGTAGGGAAGGTTTTTGCCTTTGTGGAACCTGAATATCACAACAAGGTGCTTTCTTTTCTGTCTCCCTGGTTAATAAAAACATTCCACAAGGCCTTTTCAACCAGAGAACATTTTTCTTCCAGATGATGGTATGATGGGCACCATTGGCCAGGTAGACTAGATCCAGGAAGCAGTCACTGGGGCCCATCTGCCTGCTGATGCTTTGAGTCCTGATTTTAGATTAAGAGTTGGTGAGCTATTGAGCCAGTCTCAATGGTCTTATTGAGCTGTAGTTTTTATGCTAAGGGTTTAAATGTGATTCACTGGCAGTACACCTCTTATTAACCTCTGATTCAGGTGGCTGCTTACAGCAAATTGTAAGACTGGCTTGATGTGGGATGTTTTTATTAGTTGTAGGAAAAAAAACAATATTATCTGGAAGAAACTTATTTTTTAAAAATCTTTCATTCAATAAATTCTTAAGTATTCAGAAATTAGGCAGAGCCTAAGGAAGAAAAGTGAAGAAAGAATGCAGAATTGTGGGGCAACTCTTCGGGAAGTGTCTCCACCCAACACGAGCGCTCTTGTTTATAAGTCACAACAAAATAATGACAAGCTTTTCACATCACCTTTTGGTTTCAATCCCTAGCTCAAAGCTTTCTGGAATCTTTTGTTTTTTGTAAACATTATTTTTTTTTTTCTTTTGTTAAAACAAATAAAACATTCAATGTTTTTCCCCTTTCTCTGTTATTACTTCTTTTCTTTCCTTTGGCTTCGAAAAGTTTTTAATTATTTTGAAATGCTTTCCTTTGGTTGTTGGTTTTATTCTCCCCCTCCCCACCCTTTTCCCTTTCCTTGTTATTCAGAGTATAAACCTGCAAAGCTCTGCTCTGTTTTGGTTTTGAAAGTTTAAGCTTTTCTGCTTCTGTGAGAGCACAGGCTTCTGTCCCTTTTGATTCCAACTGAACTTTTGTGTTCTCTAATGATACTAACACGGTGTAGGTTTTACAGTCTCCTAATTTGTACTGGTAATGCATATTCCAAATAAATAGTTTCTTTTGTTGCAAAAAATACATACACTTGTATTTTGTGTAAATTTCTTCTTTACATGCTGACTACATGCGTTCCCAAACTAGGCCTTGGTTAGTGTGGCTTATAGTTTAAACTTTTATCCTAATTATTTCAGTCTACATACCACATCAGTGAGGTGAATGACCTCATGAGTCACCTACATCATAGCCCACAAAAGAGAGAGAAGGAGAAAGGGAGGGGGTGAAGGTGGGGGAATCTCTTATGGGCAAATGTTAGTTAACATGACTGTGCTGCAATAGGGCAGAACACCCCAACTTATCTGCATGTCTGTGACTCTGGTTGTTATCTCCCAAGCACTGGATAAAAGAACTATCAGAGAGACGTCTCCTAACAAATTCTAAGTTCCTAAGTCATGACTGTCCAGTGGTTCTTGCCTTCTCTTTGTCTGCTATGATCTCGTCATAAGGAAAACTGTGGTACCCAACAAATGTGTCAGGGGAAGGAATATAGGTTACAAATAGTAGTTGTAGGTTCTCAGAAGTATGCTAGATGTAGCTCCTATAGATATGCACACCTACCATCTGCTATCTCTGCCATCCATATAAGCATGTCTTCTAATTGTCTGCACTCCCACTGAGCCCTTGCCTTTTGAGGCTAGAGTTTGTTAAAGTTTGGTGTCACAGAGTTCTGACTAGAATTCCACTTCAACCCTCCACACCTTCCTCCGTGCCTCAGCCCTTAACATCATCTTCCCATTCATGGCGTGCAAGGGAACTTCTTAACCGGCTTTTGACATATTGTTCCTCTAGAGGCACCATGTGCATTGTTTTCTCATTTTCATGCTGTAACTCAGGGTGCGGGCGTTGGCTGCTAACCAAAAGGTCAGCAGTTTGAATCCACCATCTGCTCCTTGGAAACCCTATGGGCCAGTTCTACTCTGTCCTGTAGGGTCACTATGAGTCAGAATCAACTCAGTGGCAATGGGTTTGGTTTTTTTGGAACTCTCAGGAGGCTCTGTCCAGACTCTCCATGAGGCAGGTGTATATTGAAAGTTGCGGTACCAGTCACTCATCCCCTCATCCATCTTGTGATTCTAATGAATAGAAAATAGATCAAAGGAATGGAAAGCCAAGTGGGGATCAAATTATCATTTTTATTAGTGGGTCCAATGATCTCAAAAACACAAGATTATCTGCTAAAGTTGAGTTGGAGAACATACCTTGGACCTGTGGCCAAAACCTCTTCCCTCTTCAAATCTAGACATTGGAAGCCACTTATAGAAGATCTGGATGTACAAGGCAAGCTCAGACAACTTACTTTTTTAGTTGTATGGAGAGTTGTGGAGCTAACCCACCCACCTAGTGTTTATTTAGAGTAGAATTAGACTGTTTTAAGAAATAGATCAAAAATATGTAATAACTGCAAACAGAGTACAAGTCTATTTCTCACATAAGAGCTGGAGGCAGGTGTCCCTAGTCAGCAGATGCCTCTGGTCCATGCGGTAGTTCGGGGATCCAGCCTTCTTCCACTTTGTAGCTAGCTCTGCTATCCTCCAGGAACCTGTAGTCCTCCACATCTAACCGGCAGAAAGGGAGAGAGTGTGAAGAAGTCCCACCCACATCTTGAAAGCCTTGACCAAGAAGAAGCACACTTTCCTTTCACTCATATTCCACTGATGAGCCTTAGTTATATGGCCACATCTAAATACAAGGGCTGGGAAGGAGTGGGACTGGAAAAGTCCCTGGCTAGGCAGTCATTTCCTGGCAATAGTTCCACACAAGGAAAAAGGAGCATGACTTTTGTGAACAGCCGGCCACCTCTGCCACACCTAGTGACTAAAAGGATAAGCAAGAGCAAAAGACAAGCCCAGATGGCCTTCTCATTGCACTGGACGCACTTCAGTAAAAACATTGCCTGTCAACACCCCGACTTGGCTTCATTACTCTTCAGTGGTGAGGATGGAGAAAGGGGCCAGAGCTGTTCAATATTTCCCCCTCAAGGGAGAGGGAACAGAAATTCTCTCCTTGATGGAAATGTGAGAATCGGGGAGAAACACCCACCCTTCCCCAGCATTCTCCAAATTTTGTTTATAAACTCAGGCCTTAGCAGCACGGCAGTGGTCATCAGGAAAGCAGAACTACAGTATATTAAGGCAGCCTGGTCCTAGCTCTAGGAGGTCTCTCCACCATGCCTACTGCAGGCCTGAAGGGTCAAGTCTGGTGGCTGGTTGTCACCTTGGAGAGTATATGTCTAGAGCCCCAAATCATGAAGTCCAGTATGCTCAAGCCCCACAAAACCACAGACACCTACATGCCTTATCTTTACAGATTTCCATGACTTTCCCACTTAAAAAAAAGAGACATAATAAAATACCAATTTTCTGACAACCGTTTGTATCCTCAATAGCTTCCTTGCTGGAAACATCTATCTTGGAGGGGTGGCTCAAGAACTCAGTCTTTAGAAATCATTCAGCAGGTGTATTCAAGGAGTGTATTTAAAACTAGACCTCTGGTTCAGAGTTAGGAATGAGGCTTTGCTTTGGGAGCATCCCTCTCATTCCTTGCATGAAAGCTACTACCAAAACCAAAAACTCATTGCCGTCGAGTCGATTCCAACTCATAGCAACCCTATAGGACAGAGAAGAACTGCCTCATAGGATTTCCAAGGAGTAGCTGGTGGATTTGAACTGCTGACCTTTTGGTTAGCAGTTGTAGCTCACCATAGCTTTTAACCGCTGTGCCACCAGGGCTCCAAAAGAGAGGAGTGTGTCTTTTGGCCACTGAAGCTAAGGAGACCCAGCCTATGACTCTAGCCGTAGGCAGACCTTGCAGGCCACTCTGAGCAGTGTAGGGGTTGGGGGAAGAGGAGTTGTAAAGGGTGTGGCTGTGGCAATACCCAGGGTCACATGGCTTTGGAGAACCATTGTCTTTGTCTATACTCCTGGGACCCAGACAAGAGACAGTTCAGCTGTTATTCCCAGATACCTCTGAATAGATCAAAAGATCCATTCATGAACATCTAGTTTTACACTGTACCCTAAGTCAAAATCCACTTTCTCCCATGATACCCAGCCATACTGTCCAGGGTAACCCACCAGAATTATCAAAGTATACCTCTTGATAGCATAAAATGCCCCAAGTGCTGCAGTGACAACACTATATTTGAGTATGAGTCTCTCATATAAGTACCCAGAGAAAAATTCAAGTGTACAAGTCTACCTTCACAGATTTCCCCCGACTGTGTCCACACTCACCCAGAGCCCCTTGCCCCCTGGCCAGCAGCAGAGGCTTCTTTAACCAGAATGGGGGTAGTAGCCATTCCAGCACCTCCAAAGTTGAATTATTCCAACCTCGAATTTCTCTAGGATCCCATTTTTTTTCCCAAAAGTCACTTAGCAGGCATATGAAAAAGATCCCAGCATCAGTCTTATCCGCAGAATTTAGAAAGCACAAGCAAATTCCAGGCTCCTACAGCAAACTTAGATTCCCCGATCCCAGAACATACTACAGTCAAGACCACGTGACGGTTGCAAATGAATGACCCATCTTAAAAAAGATTTGATAGTTTGGGAGAAAGCTGGGAAGAGAGAGAACACATGAAAAAGCAAGAAAATCTGCATTTTGATCTTTACAATGCCAGTTGATGAGCATCAACTGGAGTGTTAAGAAAAAGCCACCATCAAAAGGTTAATTTTGGAGTCTGCTTCCTATATCCTGGGGGAAACAACCCAGTCTATCCATTCTGCTTCCTCTCTCAGAGAATGACCTTTGAAATACTCATGTCTCTGAGCAAAAGTCAGAAATGTGCACTGCGTCCCCTGCAGCCCACAGGCTTACTAGAGGCTCTCTTCTTCCCCTTGGTGTTTATATACATGTATAAGATTAATCTCCATGTCCACTTTCCTTTAAGCCTCCTGCCCCCCAACCTCGTTCCTGATCCCAGATATGTTTTTCCATGTACCACTGTGACTTATGCTGCTTCCCCTCTGAGCTCCCCCCAACCCCCACTCAGTTTATCTCAGCAGGAGCCAATCTCCAATTTCTGAATGGAAGCTGCAGAAGGCTGGGCTCCTCCCCACAAAGCCTGCCCTGCCCTCAACCTTGGAGTTGCTAGGCTTTGAGTAACTGTTGCTGCTTCAGTATCAGCAGAAACATTCCTTTCTACTGTCTCCTTCAAATTTGCCTTTAATATTTCTTTTCTATAGTTCTCCACTTTCTTTTGAGCAAAGCCAGCCAAGTTTAAAATTCCTTAATCTGCACATTTACTTAGTTGCATTCCTTCTCTGTCTCCTGGAGCTCACACTCCTTGCTGTTGGGCCCAGGCATTTGATTTCCTAACATGTTGTTAGCTGCTGTCAAGTTGGACCCTTGACCCATGGCGACCCCATGACAACAGAACAAAATGCTGCCCAGTCCTGCACCGTCCCCAAAATGGGTTGCAGAGCAGACCGTTGTGATCCATAGGGTTTTCACTGGCAGATTTTTCAAAAGTATATCACCAGCCCTTTCTTCTTAGTCTGTCTTAGTCTGGAAGCTTCCCTGAAACCTGTTGAGCATCATAGCAACACAAATCGAGCCTGGGTCTTTCACATAAAACCAATTGCCATCAAGTCGATTCCAACTCATAGTGACCGGATGGAGCATTTCTACTCTGGTCTGTGTACAGGTTCTGCATGAGAAGAATGGGAATTCCAGAACACTTAATTGTGCTCCTGCGGAACCTGTTCATAGACCAAGAGGCAA